ATACGTACGATACCTTTGTTAAACACAAACTTAGATCTTACCGCAACTTCACGTAACCGGCTAGTTACAACTTACTTGTGAAGAATTATGAAACTTTACGTACTTGCAAAAATGTTTTAAAAAAAACATATACTGTAGGCAGCCTATACGTACGATACATCTCACTAAGTCTATATTTTTAGATAATTTAAAGCATACCGTATTTGCATGGGAGAAGCTACGCTTCAGTTGGAGAAAGGCGTGCAGAGCAGTCTTGATCAAGGCTGAGATTTTGCTAACTGTTCCTCCGACGACGATAGATTTTTCTGAGAGGATCAAGCGTCGGGAACCGACACACGAAGGGACTTGCATCCCTGCATCCAACAGGATCACGAGGTTCAAATGATATACCATGGGCGAGGTCCAGCTGTTTAAAGATCTGGCAGCTGAAAGGAAAACTTCTGGCATCCACAAGACTTTGTGGGACTTTGTGGGACTGAAACGGCATTATACTTGATTTTTTGGAATTTGTCGGCAAGTTACAAATCACATGCGACCTGGAGACAGTGAAAAGAGATTTTCCGAGGCGTTTGCCCGTGTTTCCATCTGGTCCTGGTTATCTCATCCCGCACATCCATTTCCATGAGTCTAAAGCCGATGACATACTCTTCCGATTTCTTCTGACTTGGCCTTTTTTGCTCTGACTTCTACCTGAAAATCTTGGCTGGTACTACCTTGCCAGCCATAAAAAACAAATAGATTGTTTTTTTGTGAATTTCTGACCAATTTTTGGTGAATTAACTAAAATTGGGGTTGCCGAAGCATCGAAAAATTTAGATTGCAGACAAAAAACATACTTGCATGGCAGGGTCCGTGCTTGAAATTAGCGTGAAATCGCGTGAAAATTTGTGAGGGGGAAGTTTCCTGACGTGAAATTCGTGAAATTTGTGAGTCCGCAAATTTATGTGATTTGATTTTCACAACTGAAAACTTCCCAATCACGGATCCTTTTTGTGCATTTTCGGAGCGGGTCCTGAACTCACAGGTGCAAAATTGTTTTATGGTTTCGAGCATATTTTCTGAAAAACGCGCGCCCACAAAAAGGTCTTGCAATCCCTGGCTTAGCAGATCCTTCATTTTTCCTGCAAGCGGATAACTAAGGGTTTTTGGTGGGGACAACAAACATACTTGCGCAGGAAAAAAACAAAAGTGCATTTGTCGGAGAAATGCCTATGTACATTGGGGCAAAGTACGTTGGTAATAAGGATTCGAACTACTTAGATGGGCCATGGAGTTAGTTAACTAGTTAGTGGATTACAATTGGGATATAGGGGGTAACAAATCCCCAGTTACTAACCAGGAATCGCGAATCCCATGGCCCATCTAAGTATAGTATAGGATATAAATTTGGAAAATTATTCGAACTACATGTTGGGATCACTGCACCCATCATGCCTATCATGGGTCATTCCTGTGATCATACCCCTATCCAAATACCCTCTGGTAAACATACAAAAAACTATGGAAAATCACCATTTTCAATGGGTAAATCCACTATATATAAATGGTCATTTTCAATAGCTATCCCACTATACTTCCAAGAACAAAGTTAAACGTTGTCGTCCAAGTAAAACCATGACTTTACTTAAAGACACTCATTGACTGCTGATATATATATAATATTAT